TGAAACTCCATTAAAATTTCAGAACCAGACCTGTTACAGGTTTTAGCCCATCTTTGTTTGCAGACATGTTTTCATTCCTCAGTGATGGAAAAATGTTGCTTTAGGAGCTCATTGATGGTTTAGGAAGGTAGAGGTGTAAGGTAGAGCACAAGCTGGCTACAGATGATTTGAAAAGAAGCAGAGTAGGTCAACAGATGCCCACCAAAGGAAAGCTGTTGGACAGTATACCGTGATTAAATGTCCTCCATGTGCATTCAAGCCTGTGCACCTGGGACTTTAGTAGGCAGAGCTGTTCAGTGAACCAGAGAAAGAGAAATAATACAACTGAAGACCTTTCAGCAGCAGAGTGATCCAGGCTGTCACCAAGGCTCAAGCTTTAACTAGGCCATTTCATCAAGGGGCAATGCAGTGTGCTTAGGAGCAAGGGCAAGATGAATGTATTCTGAAAATGTATCGACAGGCTCAGTTTGCATGGTGCATAGCACTAGACATGGGTGGAGTGTCAGATCCAGCAGAGATGGCTTTTGGTCAGGTATACTGTGTTAAAGTGCATGTGGGTCTAAGAACTGAATATCAGCTATAATGACAGGCTTTTGTAAAGTGAGTCCGTAGTTATAAGATGCACATTTAAGACAAGAGAAAGAATAAGAAAGTCAACAACTGGAGTGCTGAAGTGGCACAGTTTTTAAAACAATAATTTTAGACTATTGTTATGGAATATTATTGAATATCAATATTCAGAGATTCAGAAAAGTCAAAAGATTGCAGAATTCAAGGACAAGCAATACAAGTTTTAAATCCAACATGATAAGATAAGTTAAAAGATTATGACAATACAATAAAAAAATATCAATGATAAGCTGGTTTAAAATCAGAGGTGTTCATGAAGGATTGTGTTTTCAAACAAGATAATGTCACTGATTCTAGTGAGGTCAATAGCAGAGTTGCATTACTGCTTCTGATTCTGAACTGAGGTTCATAACTATATTCCATTGTCAGTATCTATGTCTCGTAAGAATCCCAAGCATGCAAGAAAGGTGTCATGGTCTTTGTTTTAGGGAGGTGTCTACAGGGGATGTGCAGCCATCATTTTATAAACAGAGTATGAGAACATACTAAAAATGTTTAAGAAATGTAAATAATCCATCTGATTTAGTGTTTCTATCTGTCAATACAGAAGGACTGTGTGTGTGGGGCCAGGGGGTATTAGTACAAGGGGGATTTATTGTTGCAGTGCTTTATTATGTGTAACCATTCCTAAGGATTGTAATACGTTTGGTCAGACTACATAACAGTAAGGCATATTGTGCAATATAGTAACTCTAAATAATGCTAATGCTATAAATGCTGTTTTATAATATATAAATGCCATAAAGACTCAAAAGTCATTTGTTATTAGATTTAGAAAGAAAGACAACATTGGAAAAATGCATAAATATTGTTATATTTATAATATTTTACATTTGATGAATTTATAAAAATATTATATAAAATACATGTGCAGTTCTTTTATGGTAAACAAAGCATATTGTGATAGATCCAGGAAAATCATGTAATAATAACACAGTATGATTAAATATATATGTTTTTCTGTTCTGTTTTCTATCATTATTACAGATGAAAAAACAAAGAAGGATTCTCAGTTATACTAAGGTTAGAAATGAACATTCAAGGTAATGAATGTAGTTTCAGTGTAATACTGGTGGTAGGTTGTCTTTGGTTACAAGTCCACAGGAGGCAACAGGTGAATCAGTGGTAAAGGTCTGCAGGTGATCAAGTGGATGGAAAAATACCACTAAACTGAGGAGGTGCTCCATTTTCATTTTAAAACTGATGACACCCCAGCTGAGAAGTGACAGCCAACACTTAACAGTGTCCACTCAACCTCTACCTACCCAAGGGAACTCACTATGCTATTTGTTTCTGACATTTCTTTTTTTCCATAAATATGTCCCTTGAACCCTTCAGTGACCTAAGTCATTTTGATTTAGAAAATAATGCTTAGCTAATAATGTCATGAATAAACATATGTGACCAAGGGTATATACATGTTGTATACCAGTATGCAGTATATTCTTTATATGCCTGTACAGTATGGATAGCAAACTATCACAAGCTTTCAGATTTAACAGAGATAATGCTTTTTGTATGGATATTTGTTTTTGTTTTCACTCAGCAGACATAATACAGATTTTCTTTTGGAATATGTCATTTCAGACCATATCTTGCGATTGAATGTGTGTACACCACTACACAACCATGATGACAATCTTCAACCCATTTCAGTGCATTTTCTGGTGTGAGTGAGTATAAAACAGTGATGGGCATAGCATGACCTCATTCACATGTAACCCAATCCATCAGTGTATTTGGACAAACAGGAGTGATACCTCTTCCATCCAAACCCCATTAACAACAGTGTGGCCCCTTCAAACACTCCCATTAGGGTAGGGTTCCCATTTACCACAGAGAAAGATCCTGTTGCTAAATTTGGTGAATCTGTGGTTAGGCTGAAAGTCCACCATGCTACATACCATATATCCAGATGCAGTCCCAATCCAGCTCCCCACACCCCAGAAGAACAGTCCAACAGTCATTTCCAACAGTCATTAAGGACATTGCCAAAGGACTGGCTCTCATCAAGTCTCTGCAGATGAACCATTCATGAACTCTTCTTTGGTTCAAGTTGTAGAAATGGAAAACAAGGTGGAACCAGGATTCCATTGTTCTAGTTCATTTTCTGTTTCTAAAAAGCCTCTATTTACATTATAGCCAACATTTGCATAATCATGGATTCTCCACACCTGCAGGTAGAGCCCGGCCAAATCAATTCTGACATAATTTACTAAAATATTTTCATGTAAATTAAGCACAGGGAAAACTATGACTGCAAAGATATGCTGCAAGCATTTGTAATGTTGATCACAAGTGATAGCTTGCAGTAGTGTAATGTTTCAGTGGATGTCTTTCACGGGGAAGAAGCAAACATCAGCACATAGCCTTTTGGCAGTGCCTTCAGGTAATCTAAAACAGGGCCTTCCATGATATCACAATAAGCTCAGAAATGCTTGGTAAATCAAGCAACTGAATTAAAATCATCACCCCAAAAATGGGTGATATCATGACATGCCATTTTCGTACAAGGAAATGTCATTTTATCTCTATTAAGCAAGTTACTTGTATTTGTTTTGTGAAAGAATTTAGGCGTGGGGAAAAAAAGATGACTTTCTGTCTCAAAAGCAGTGCAAATAATGCAAAAATTATTTTGTGATATTAACCCTTAATATTAACCCGTACAGAGTGGAAGATGAATAAGACACATTTTTAGGTCAAATGCATGTCACTGTACATAAATGTAATGCCATATGTAAAATTTATTAAAACACCACCACTGTACCTAAAGGTAAAGCAATGCTAATGATAGTTAAAATGTGAAAGCCGGTGGCATTGTTTTGAAGTGTTGCCCAAGAGGGAGCAATGTGCAAACCCAGCAGCAGGGCAGTGGATATTTGTTTCAAAGACAGAATGTGTGGGACTCGCATGTCAGGCACATGAATCCCTCACATTCTTGGTGGAGTTGGACTCTGGAAGGTGAACATTTCCCTAGAAATGTTATCTGCCATAAACACCCACCGTTACCCACTGCCAGTATCAAGCATTGGTGTACGTGACTGAAAAGGTGTCATTACTTATTTGTGTTTGTCAAGAAGAAGGTTAAGCAAAACCATACTTCATTCGTCATGCACCTAGTGATCTGCTATGGCCCTAAGATGAAATCAGTCCTTTTATAGGGAGCATACAGTTATTACTTATTTTTATCATTATACCTGTGTAGACATGATTACCAGTATCAATTAGGATAGCAGAAACTCATTAACTGAAGACAAAGCAATCATATCATAAAAGTAAAAAAATATTATTACATAGCTGGTTAAAAGTCATTACATCATTTGTTACTACAAGAAAATCCAGTCATTCCAGTAGAAGCATGTTCATCGATCTTCATAATGAAAGAATGAGGCTCCACACTTCTTGAAAAGAGAATTTTGCCTGAATGTGGGAAAAACAGGCAAGACAGGTGAAAAAATGCAGGAGATTGAGTTTTTCTTCATTTTTTGTTGAATTGAATTTTTTGTTGAATTCGGCAATCACAACTATAGCTATCTACTCTGCTAGCCAACTATTGTACATAATTGGTACATAAACAGTACATAAATAAAGATACATAAATATAAAGGTGGTTAAAAATGATCTATCACAGCATAATTCTGATTAGCTTACACATATGCATTAACTAACTAGCTAACCAGTCAGCCTTTCTTTTCAGCTGTACACCCCCAGTCATTTACATTGATCACCACTTTGACTCTTTGGCCTGAATCATCACCTCAATTCAAAGCCATGCTTTCATGTGATCCTACTGTTCATTAGGAAAATAACTGGACAGTTATGGATTTAGCTCATATCTCCTATGTATATGCTTAATATCTGAACAATGAATACAGATGTCACGAGGCATATAGTATAATATAGCAACATTTGCCCTCTAATCAGGTTGCATCATCGGTTGTGACAAGGAGGGTTGTTGAATAAATTGCTCTCAACTGAAGACAGTTCAAAACCTGAACAAGAATTAAATACCTTACTGACACTACAGTGTGATCTTATACACATAGATGACACTTTGTGTAGAACTCTACTTCTATGTCATTTGTAAGCATGCTTTGTATACTGGGGTCTTTGTTGACTTTTACATTACATTACATTACATCATTTAGCAGACTTGTTGTCTGAATCTCAACTGAAAGCTCATTCCACCAGTGTGGAGCCAGTACTGGGAAGAGTCAGGTTCGGGAAATACTGCCCTTGTATTTCGGGACATGGAGGTGACCCGAGGTAGCAGAGCGCAGCACTCTTGCAGGCTTGTGGGATTTTATCATGTCCTGTAAGTATTGGGGGGCTGATCCATTAAGTCCCTTAAAGGAAGAAAAAGATCATTGTACCCAACATGGGGCTCAAACCCACAACCCTGAGATTAAGAGTCTCATGCTCTACCAATTGAGCTACCCAGGCACTTGCTGATCACCCTACATGATCATAAAATACAGACAGCTGATTTCAGATTCAGGGTACACATGGATGTCTGCTGTAAGAGAAGATGGGGCATATGCTGGTAAGTGGCTAGTTTTTTCCAGTTTTGGGAAGAGCTGCAAAAGAAGGGAGCACTAAATGACATAAAGCTCAGCTGGAGAGTGCTGCCAAATGGGCATATATTCCAGAAGGTGGAAACATGAGGTTATGGAGAAGGTCCCAAAGGTCACTGCAGTTGGTTGACAGAGACACCCTGACTCTGCAAAGAGCAACCTGCGTTCAGCACTGTACCACTGCTGAACACAGTGTACCAAGCTAACACGTGCTGGGTTGCGTTAGCTAATTTGATATGTGTGTGTGTGTGTGTGTGTGTGTGTGTGTGTGTGTGTGTGTGTGTGTGTGTGTGTGTGTGTGTGTGTGTGTGTATATGTGTTTGTGTATGAGAGAGACAGTGTGTGAGAATGAATGTATGTTTGTAGTCTGTACTGTGAGTTATTCTCAAATTATCATTATTATTATTAATTATTATTATTAGTAATTATCATTACCATTAATCAAAGACATTAGAACACAATCTACCCCCCATTTTCATTAGTTTTAATGTTTATAATGCTTATTATGCTGCTTGAATTTGTTCATTACAGTTATGGAAAGTTGTAGACTTTGTCCTCACTCAAGGTTTCCCCTCTGAAAAAAAGAAGTGGTTTAATTTTTTATCAGCAGCTACACTGGATATACTGAAATAGCACAAGTGACTGTATATCGCTTTAGAGTGACAACCACTGGCATAGCCATTTCTAATTGTTTGTTTAACATCTTGCAAGATGATAAACAGATTGACTACACTTAACGATCAGGGACAGGCATGTCCACTGTGTCAGCTTCTCTCAAGTTGTCCTATGACTTACTCTTCCTGGTATGTGTGAGTATGTGTGGGACTCTGCTTCTTCTTAAATATTGTCTTTTTGTCTTAATATTTCATTTTTTTTTTACATTTTTTATAGACCCAGAAGGGAATTGCCAGAGGCCACTGTCAATGTCTCCTGTCTTTTACACTGACCTGTAGCGTATTACTATTTTTAGTTGCTAAAAAAAAGCAACCTATATTCACAAAAGATGGTGAGCCAAAGCACTTAAAATAATGTACATGATGAATTTTAGGTCAAAATCTTTTCACCAGTTGATAAGAAGTGAATAACTGTTCCATATCAAACATTTACTAAAAATACATGAAGGTAAAACTTATTTCAAATTTCTGTGGCTAACGGGTCTTTAAATGGGGGCTGCATATATTCACCATGGAATTTGATGTTTATTCTACTGTAAGATGATGACTAAGAATAAAAATGACGCAGAAAAAAATCTAAAAATACCAACAGAAATCAATGGATACCTTGTGTGGACACATTCTACTGTTGAGCATATGGGACATGCTGGTCATTGTCACAGTTCAAAAATCTCTATTCACCATTTTTTTTTTTTTTGTGTTTTGTATACATATAAAGATAGTCAGGTTTAAAGTACATGACATTGCTATCCTTTTGGAAAAACTTTCTCAATTATTAACATGGTGTTATTTCTTAATTTGTACCAATGAGTAGTGAAAAACACCTGATGGACTACTTTGACGTGCCATGTAGTGCCTAAAACCCATGCTCACATGCATATAAAAGGCTCACGCACATATGAAAGGCTTGCACATACACTCATACTATTTACGACTTGCACACAGACATATGAAACGCCTGCATACATTTATGAAATGCTCATGAGTGCAAATGTGAAAAATGTTTCATAGTGTATGCGCATATGTGAGCATTTCATGAAGGCCTTTCATTTGCATGCACCATAGCCTTTGTACACATACGTGCAAGAGATTTTATAAATGTGTGTGCATGTATCAGATATGTATAATTCATTGTCACGCTGCACATACCAGTAAGACAGTTAGTTTGCATTATCAAGGGAAAACTCCCAAGCCAATCTCCTGAGAAAGTGTACCTCACCTGAATTAGGTGTATTTCCTAAGACATCTATAACCACTCTCACTACATCATAGTTGGACATTACACTAAAGGCCTACAACATAAGTCTTAGGAAGACCCTGCTTTATGCCCCACACAGAGCCTCACAGAACACCGTTACAATGCAGGTCAAGAATGGTTGGCTAGCGGTTTGGAATGTAGGGAGTCATTTTTCTCCCCTAAATAGTTTTGCAGCAAGCACTAGTCAACTCAGCTTTGATACATTTTAATTTATGATCAGGTCAGCCCATTAATTTGGCCTTTTCACCTACCCCTGCATATCATCCAATTCTAGCCCAAGCATGGGCACGCAGTGTGGATGCAGTCTGAAAGTTAGAACATGATTGGAGACCCCACAAACAGTACAGTGAAAGGTCAACAACCGATAACCAATAAAATGTTACATTTTTCCATCACCATTAGTCACAAACACTACAAAATTATATCTTGAACTTTTTTCTGAGACAAGGCCCAAATTTTATGTATTCACAAAGTGTATACAACACATTTTGTGGCAGCATCCTGAGACAAATATCAATCACAAATATCAATCACATGCCCCATCTTCTCTTACAGCAGACATCCATGTGTACCCTGAATCTGAAATCAGCTGTCTGTATTTTATGTGTGCTTGTAATGCTCATTACTATAAATGTGCTTGTACTGACCTTCAGGATAAGTTCAGCTACCATTGTGTTATTCAAATCCATTGCCCCCCCTGTGGTCAGTTTAATTCTTAGCGAAATTCTCCTAGACACTGAGTAGACATACAAATGGGAATAGCCATGGACAGTCAGTGTCACTAATCAGTGAAATAAAATAAAAATTGACATTGCAAGTATGAGACACTACAGAGCTGAGCTAGTGGTGACACCTGGTGGCCACCGTTAATTTCATCTCATCTCTTCCAGTCCATCCGCCTTCTCTTTCCTAAAGAAGTCGTTACAACATCAGCAGTGGTTTCCTGTCACCCACAAATTTAGCCAATATTACCATTCTCTCATTCACAGGTCTGAAATCGAGTTCTTACCCTTTGGCACTGTGAGTTGCACAGGAATTTTCGTATCATGTTTCAGTTTGATCTTAACTTCACACCAGTAATCATCTTTGGCTGCCTCCTTCAGACCCCTTATGGTGACAAGCCTTGAGTCCTGTTGTTGTTGATGGATATTCTGTCTGTCTCCAGGCTCTGAGAGTCTGTTTCCTATGGGGGAATAGTTCCACCAATCCAGCCATTTGCACCAGTACTTCTTGTCACTGGCATACATAGTGTCATAGCTGCACAGAACACTGACTGTTCCTCCACTCCCTGCAGCTCATGTGAGCTTGCTCTCAGAGAATTTGTTGCTGCAAATAAGACACAGTGTTGCAGGGTAGAGTTTGAAGAACTGGAAGTGTGTGTGTGTAAGCATGTGTACACACACAAAGTAACCACAAAGCAAAATGTCCAAGAGCACATGACAACATTACAACATTATCAAAGGTTCCAAGGGAATGTGTGTGCAAGTATGTGACTTTGTCAATAATAACAATATGAGCGTGGAATATGTATGCAGATGTGTTTGGGTGCACACATGTGAATGAAGTAAGCATTTAAGTGTGCATGTGCATGTGTGTATAAAATGCCAACATGCATCATAAAATGCATGTGTCCCTATATTAAGAATGAATAGAACTTTTTAAGGCACATTGAACAAGGGATCTTCTGTTTCCTCAAAAAAAGATCAGTTTTTTTCCTATTACTGGTCTTATTGTTTAAGGTAGTTAAACTAGGGAATTATGACATTCCAATATGACAGATTTTAATTCAGGTGTTTAGCATCCCTTATTTGTAATGGAAATGTTGGTACAGATGGCATTTCCTTAAAATGTGTTACTTCCTAGTTCCTACCAATCACAGACTGTATTCCCTCAGTTGGGCATCAGTTTGATGAGTGGCTAATTTCATGCATTATCAAGAGCTGAAACCTGGTCATGTGGATGTAAACTGCAGAGAGAAAGACAATGTGTATATTCAGAAATATATTCCATCAAAAACTAAAAAAGGTGGGACATGCACTGGGTGCATTGCATGTCACATTTGGCACCCCAAACCTCTGTCTGTGTGAGTATTGTATCTGTGTGTTTGTGCATGCATGTGTGTGAAAGTGAGCCTTTACCTCCCCTAGAAACTGAATGTGCATGGGTAGGTTCTGGTAATTGTTAGAATGTGAAATGTTCAAGGGCCCTTTTCATCTATCCAATTCAAACTGGCCATTCATCATATCTCATCAACTGCATCTAAATCTGTTAATTGTTCATTGACTGCATGTTTGTAATTATAGTTCTATTTGTCTGTAGTAACCAGCCTATTGGTTAATGAGCCACACCTGCCTAATTAAAGGGATATTAAATACAGTTGTGTGGCTGGGGAGGAAAGGGGCTCATTTTGTTTCTGCTGACTGTCTGGTTGGGCTGGTTTCTTTGTTGGTTATTGAAATAAATATTGGGTTTTTTAATCATTGCTCATTTTTGTGAGAAGTGTTGACCAGCTTCTCCACAATGTGTTTGAATCACTCTTACCATGGACCACTGGCAATACAGTAACTAGTAGAAGTAGAAGAAGTAGAAGTAGCTTTATTTGTCACATGCATGTTGTACAGAGTACTACAGCAGGGAAATGTGATTGCAACAACTGTGCAAATAAGTGACATACAGCACACCATTAGAGATACATAAGATAGTAGAAATATAAAAAAATATAAAATAGAGGAGGTATGAAAGTATAAGAAATATACACTATTTACACAACAGATACTATGTACAGAGCAGTTGAAGAGTCCTGAGGATGTGACGTGACATAATATACAGTGAGGTAATCATGATGAGCAGCAGAAAGCAATAAGCAATAAACAAAGTGCAAACAAGACAGTGCAGGTGTAAAGGAATGATTGCTGTCCATATGGCCTGTGCACATGG